CTATGTGAGCGACGGTGTACACGGTCCCACCCTGCAAAGTTGGATACAACGTTTTGTTTACATCTTCATCAGAGTGGGACTAAGGATTTGATATTGAAGAAAAACTTGGCTCGATTTCGGCATAAGGACAGTCTACAGGATGATGCCCTCGACGTTTCGAACCGATGCCTCTAAATGGACGAAATCATCAGAATTTTTCTGTTAATTATATGTAGATTGGAATAAAACTCGGCACGTTGATAGAGGTATCCGAATGGTGACCTGAGACGGACAAACGGTCATTTTAATACAAATTTTGTGAAAGTGAATCAAATTAATTATTAATTTTTAATTTATTGCTTTTTCGACATTTCAAACTACTTTTTCAAACATGTCCTTCAATTTAATAGCTGTTTCACTTCAAATATGGGCACATAGTGCACACACAATTGTTTTTCATAACATTATGTTGCTTACTTTTGAGAAACTATTTTACTCTACTATAAAATCTTTACAATAATTAACTATTATCCAGGGTGAATTACAAAAATATTACGTCAACAAAATGGAAATCGATTATTTTCAATAGAAATTGCATTATTATGGCTAGTACTGTGAAAAGAACTGTTTATTATGCACTTTTTGAGTCGCACCTCAGATATGTCCTTCCATTCTGGGGTACGTGTTGTGCGACTCAATTTGGTAGCATTTTCAAGCTCCAGAAGAGAGCTGTTCGATATTCACTTGGACTAAACAGTAGAACTCGTTGCCAGGACTTTTTTTAAAAAAATAAATATATTAACTCTTCCTTCCTTATTTATATTTGAATCCGTTTTCCTAATACGTAAGCATGTATAGGCTTCTCAAGAAAGGCCATCTCACACTTATCCACTCAGAAACGCGGAGCAAGATCTTTATCTACCTACCTCACGCTCAGAGTTAGTTAAAAGTTCAATATTATACAACTCGAAAAAAATGCAATCACCTGCCAATTGAAATCAAATCAGTTTCTTCATTTCGCAAAGCATTGAAATCTTATTTACTAGACAAGGCTTTCTACGCCGTAAATGACTTCTATTTTGATAATCGAATTTGATCTTTTAAACTTGACTGGTTTAATGTTTGCTATTACTATATTTACTATAAACTTACTAAATATTTTTGAATATTATTTTAATTTTTTTTATTCTTTGACATTGTAAACATTTATAAATGTTTATCTTAAACAATAAGGCTGACAATGTTTTTTTTGGTTACAAATTGAAAAATTTTTTGACAATAAAGGCATTTATTTATTTTTTCTTTTTGTTTATTTATCGTCAAAAATAAAGAAGGCGTTTTATAAAATTGTTTATAAGTATCTAAAATACAATATAACTATAACTTAATAATACTAAATCTAACAAAAATATCAGAGTATTAAGGAGTTCGTTAACATTGTGTTTATTTTGCTAAAATATATTTTCTTGTATAAGTAAGCATACAACGTTTCGTAGTTCAGAAAGAAGACAACTTATAATTAGTTAGTCCATTAAAAGTTAGCATGTGAAATAGAAATGCAAAAGAAACATTCTGACAAGTTTTCCTTGTGGAATATAAATCCTTTCGCAGAATCCCACGCCCGAAACTTTGAGAATGGATATTTTTGGATGGATTACGTGGGATTTTGGAAATAATAGATATGTATTAAGACTAGGCAAAGAAAGTGGCCAAGCTTAATTGAGTGATTGCTGAAAGTCAGAAACTTTTAGAAAGCTTAGTAGTCAGAAATAACTTTTTTAGCAACATAATAAAAAAACTGTCTAAGCAAAAAGTTTTTGTAACAGAAACTAAATGGAGCTACTAAAATAAGTTAATCAGGAACGGTTTGATTATGACATAGTAAATATTAGGGTTATACTAAAAGTTTATTAACAAAGATCGTGTATGATTATTATGGCAAGGGCCGGACATGGTCGCAGTGAATGGAGAAAACATCCCTAAAGGGGCGGCCATTAGCGATGGGAACTATCGAATGAATTAGATTATCGAATGGTTACTGAATGAATGATTTCAACTATTGAATGGTTTTATTCGAATAAAATCATTCATTCATTTGTATACTAAAGCATATGTGACAACCTCGCCGTGCGACAAAATGGTTATCGTTGAGCCACGACTGTCGAATGCTTTTGATTTTTGATAAATGAAATTTAGTATTCGTTTGATTTTTGTGTGCGTCAGTGCATTATTAGTTCTTCCAAATTTTTATAACTACGCCGTATAAATAGTGTGCTATTTTTGCGTTTATTAAAATATTTAAAATACTAAAATAGTAGTTTTTTTAATTGACGATTGAGTGCGTGTGGAGGTGGTCAAAATTTTTCCGAAAATTTGTGTGATTTTCCGTAGCCCGATCTTTCAATTATTTAATTTTATATGGTATATGGTCTATTTTTTATTGGGAAATTTTGAGAAGTAGCAATTTTTAAGAGAGATGAGATGAACTTACAATTAATTTTAAAAATACATATTTGTGTTTTAGATGTTTTAATTTTTAATAATATGAATTAGTTGAACTTAATCATCATATTTAAGTAATGTGGTTAAGTAAATGATTATCGAACTCAAACTATGGGGTGAGAAAATTAAATTGAAAGTTTTACACGTGCCAATTAAAAAAAAAGTTAACGATGTTTGTATTTTGTTTATGCTAATTCTCTTACATGTAGTTTTTTGCGAAGAAATATTTCATTTATTTTTTAAAGTAAATGCCAGTAAAAGTAAATATATTATTTTCGTAATATAAAGCACCTCATATAAATAATTTTGGTTTGTAATTTTTTATTTATATTTTCCTTCCATTACACTGCATCACAAACTGCATGCTTAGAAAATTAATAAATATTGATATTTCATGATTTTAAAATTTGTTGTTAATATAACAAATTAGTTCTGTAATTATTATTATTTAATAAACCAACGTTGCCACACAAAAAATTTAGAGACTATATTATTTTTAAACAGGATCTAATATAAATAATTTTGACATATAATTTGTTGTTTATATTTTGCTACTACTTAAAAAATGTTTATATTAAATGATTTTAAATTTTGTTGTTAATAGGTATAACAAATTATTACTGTTATTATTATTTATTAAACCAGTCTTTGCTTAAAAACATTAAAAATCATTTTCGTACATCCAAAATAACAAGTATTATTGCAGTGTAATAACAGAATATTAATAAAAAAATGCAAAATATATAGACATACTATCCCTAACTAACTAAAGCCAAACAACAATATTCTTTGCTAATATCAACTAATACCAATATATGGCATCAGCGCCCTTCATAATATATTTTCTGTGTAAATACTAGCACCTCGATAAAAAAAATAATGTGTCCTTATCTTTATCTGACTTCACAAAAAATCAAAGATGCCGCTTTCTTTCATATCATTGCCACCGACCGCTGTCGGGTTTCTCGGAAAGAAACCTACGCCGGGCGACAACTAAAATCCAGTTAATATTTTATTACAATCGATCCTCACCAATAAATGAATTTCATAAATGAATGAATTTTATAAATGAATGAATTTTATAAATGAATGTTTTTTGCTGCCGAATTACTAGAATACAATATTTCAAGGCAGATGACGCATCTATTCGATAATTTTTATTCGAATAGTTTTCAACGAATGTTTTCTTACTAGCTATCGAATTATTCGAATGAATTGCAACTATCGAATGTTTCGATAGTATTCATTCGATAGTTCCCACTACTAGCGGCCATCACGGTCTTTCTACAAAGGAGCAAGGGGAAAGACACCACCTATCTGGTGAGCCTGATCCAGGGTCAGAACTTCAATGTAAGAACATCGAGTTGGAGAGTCATCAACTCGAGGGAGGAGAGTCATGGTCAGGTCCTCACAATAATTGACTTCAAATCCAAGGAGGCAATAGAGAAAGAGGGACATATCCTCTATTATAGATACGGGACAACACCGGTATCAAGTCTAAGGAGAGACCAAGTTAAAGAGATGGAGAAGAGGTGGAGAAAATGGAGACAGCCTCCAGCTCACGGGTGCCTCAGCCGAAGGCAAACTCCTCGACTGTGAAGGGCGGCACGGAGGGCCAAACTCCAACCGTGGAATGGAAATCCTCGTGTACCCTCGGAGGAAGAACTGTTGTCAGAGGAGGATGGGAAATACCCTGTCCCCTCTACAACAGAGGTGTGATGGGTTATAGACTGTGTGATGACTCAAGGAAGGGACACAAACACACACAATAGATTTTTAAGGTCGCAGTGATTAACCCCCCCTCTTACTCATTCTACATTCTACATGATTATTATAGAGGGTGGACCTTGAATGAATGGGACTTGAATGAAGTGCAAATATTTTTATAAGATGAGATGAAATCTATTTAAAAAATTTGAGAGTCACCGGATTTTTTCTGTATTTCCAACCCTTTTATTACGGCTTTTATTTAGTTACGGCACAACTATGGTAATATCCAGAATTAAGAAACTACTAAAAACGTACGTTTTCTAAAATATACAGGAAAAATTAAAAAAATGCTTGACTTTCAACATCTTCTTTTTGCGAAAAAAACCTCATAGATATGTTCCTGGAGTCGAAATATACCATCCTTGAAAATATTTGTACTTATTTAAGACTAACCCTCTATATTTTTTTATTAAACACTTTTTAACTGTGTCTATGAATAACTATCTGCCAGTGAGGCTGTTGAAATCTTGCAAAACGATTGTATTAAATCTGTGGCTATCTCAAACTCTAAATAAAAAACTGTTTGTTTACATTTTGTTTGTATATGCCATATTTGTTTGTTTGTATATGTTTTGTATATGTGATAAAATAATTCTGTAGCTATTTTGTGTTGATATTGTGCAATCAAATAAAAATTTTACCTAAAAAGTATGATAAATGACGATACGCATATAACCTGTTTTTGTGTCACGTATAGTTATTTTTTTCAAGAGTTATAAAAATCTAAAAAATAGAAATTATAAACTTACCCGTATAGGTTGACCATCATGAGTTTGGTGGAATGCGCAAGTCTCGATCATCCTGAGTGCCATCCAGGCAATTTGTTGAGCATGCGTGTTGGTGTTTTTATGTAGACCCCCAGCTACGCAATATGCATCTCCTATAGTCTCAACCTTATAAGATAAAAAGACATAGAATTAATTCAGAGAGACGACAAATATAACAAAGAAAATTGAAAAGAAATAAAAAAGGAAATAACAAAACTACCGTATATGTTTCATGATACTTACTTTGTAAACATCCAATTGTCCACAGTATGTATCAAATCTGTTATAAATGTCCTCGAGCATGTTTATAACCATCATAGGGGTTGCAGTGGCGCAAATTGATGTGAATCCAACTATATCACTAAATAACATAGTGACATCCACGTGTGTTTTTGCTTCAATACTTTCACCTGGAATTATGAATGAGGTGGGGGTTATAAAAGATACAAATTCGAACAAAAATTTCTTGGTACAATAGCGTATAGATTTGGTGAATTTCAGATGATTTTAAAAATTTCGACCGCAGCGCTCAATACGGTAGAAATCAGAAGTTTTCGGCTCCGTATTTCACGCAGTTCCGATCTTGATCGCATTGAAATATTATTAAAATCGTGGATTTGTCATAATATTTAAGTATTTTAGTTTTTAATTATGTAATTATTGGAATTATAAAACAATCAGGTACGAGGTTTGTGTGATGTAACGGATGTAACGCTGTTTCGGGTAGTAAAAAATAAGTGAAAAAAAATCCGAACTAAACGTCGCTTCGTGTTGTGTTGAAAAAATGAAGAGAGAAACAGAAAAAATGTTAACGCGTAAAGGAGAGCGTAATTAGAGCGTTAGGTTAGGTTGCAATAACATTCAATAACTCAACTTTCCCAGGATATTCAACTCTCATTAAAAAAAACATTTTATAAATGGATTCAAGCAGCTCGAAATAGAATATACTATGAGAGGATAAATTATAATTTCCAATATTAATGGTATACTTGTTTTAATCAACTAGATAGATAAACTAACACCAACAGAAGAAACATACCAAATAACAAAAGAACTAAACGTAAGATAATTAATAAAATATCATAATATATTACATCTACATAAAATCAACAATAAATTATTAAAAACAAATATTTCTTTAAAAACTAACAAACAAATACAGTCTTACGAAACTAGAAGAACATCAGATATCAGAACAGCAAGGGAACTCAAAGAAAAACTTTCACAAAAACTAACAACATAAACTACTACAATATACATGCTACCAAAAGAATTAAGACAATTAAATTATAAAAATTTAAAAAAAAATGTGATAAAATAAACATGATATTTGAGAAAAGCGTATAAACGTAGACGGCATAGACCAATTTATAAAAAAAAGAACACTGCCCTGCTTCAAACTGTTGCAATTGAAGAAGGATGCAACCAACAACTGCCACGAAAATAAAGCTTACTCAATAATATTGTTGAATTGTGTATTTTTAAATAATTGTATATATTTTAGTTAATAAAAATATTATCAATAATCTATACTAATATATAAAATCCTTAAGTGACTGATTAATCACGATCCTGCTCAAGCCACTCAACGTAAGAAGCTCAATTTTAGCATACAGGTTGATTCTAGGGTGTAGAGGTTCGATAAGAAGGGATTTTTCGAAATTCCAGTTCTAAGAGGGTGAAACCACCCCTCAAATATTACAATATTTTTTTATTTAAAAAAACGGTCAAGTTTCCGAAAAAACGCTTAAACACGTATATTTTATTTTGTTTTTTTACATATTTTAAGATTTTTAAAAAATGTATACAGGATGTTTCGAAAAATCTGGTCATTTCCACGATCAAATCACGATCCTGCTTAAAGCGCTTGACGTAAAAAGCTGATTTTTGGAAAACAGATTGACTTTAGGGTGTAGAGGTTCGATAAGAAGGGATTTTTCGGAACTCGAATTCTAAGGGGGTGAAACTATCCCTCAAATATTAAAAAAAAAATTATTTAAAAACCGGTGAGTTTTTCGGAAAAACTCTTAAACACGTAGGTATATTTTATTATGTTGTTTTACATACTTTAAGATTTTTTATAGATATATACAGGGTGTTTCATAAAATATGACCATTGAGTAATCACGATTCTGCTTAAACTGCTTGACGTTTAAAGCTGATTTTTGGCAAACGGATTGACTGTGGGGTGTAGAGGTTCGATAAGGAGGGGTTTCTCGAATCTCAAATTCCAAGAGGGTTAAAACGCCCCTCAAATATTACAATATTTGTTATTTAAAAAACGGTTAGTCTGTCGGGAAAACGCTTGGACAAGCATAATTTATTTGTTTTTTTTACATATTTAGACATTTTATAAAAAATCATACAGGGTGTTCCAAATAGTTGGGTAATTTCTTAACCACGATTCTGCTTAAACTCCTTGACGTAAAAAGCGTATTTTTGGCAAACGGATTTTTCGAAAGTCAAATTCCAACGAGATGAAAGTACCCCTCAAATATTACCAAGTTATATAATAATATCGCCATATTGTTTTTTCTCATGCTCACATAAATGTGAGAAAATTTTATCCAGTTTGTATGTTAATGGAAATTCTTGCTTTGCTTTATCATCGCCATTACAAATGATTAATTCGACGCGAACGAAGTCGCTGGAACACGCTAGTTATTATATAATAAAGTGTTTTCATATATTCGCTATTTAATTGCCGTGTATTTGTATATGCCGGTTGTTTACGATATTTTCCGATGCTGGCAGCACCGGTGGATAATAAAAATACAGCCTTTATAAAACAATATAAAAAATAACATTTTTTATATTAAAAAAATACAGCCTTTATAATAATTTTGTAGCATTTTTTATTTCCTTTAATAAAATTGAATTTAAAAATCTATTTTTATTTAAATTTCTTAGTATTGGCGCCATCTATTTGCTAGGTGCCAAAGATGTCAAACTTCATTTCTTACAGTTTACTTGTCTTGTTTATTAGCGCCATCTATTCGCTATATGCCAAACTTCCTTAATTGCATTTCACTTGTCCCGATATTTAAATTTTATAAGCGCATCTATTCGTTAGATGTCAAACTTCATTTATGACAGTTGGGTTCTGAAACTGAGAACTGAGAAGAAGGTCTTTTTTTTTCTGGGAATTTGGATCTGAGGAAGACGCGTGTGTCGGCGTCCGACAAATTTTCCAGTGAAAAGCACTCTGCATCCACTTTTCGATTTCGATTGCATGGGTATCCGATTTGGAGATTTGAAAACCTTGTAAAGTATGCAATCCAGAGTATAGATCGTATTTGTTTGCTTTCTTTATGGAATGATCACCGTAAGTTTATCCGCCATTTTATATTGCCCTATCTAACTAAATTCTATTTCAGTTATTTGCGTTTGTTATTTCGTTTATTTGAGTATTTAATTACTGGTTTGGATCGGCATATGGTTTGAATATATTTATGTAAAGCTGATTTTCAGACCGTAAGTTGTTTCTTTTATTGAGTATCTGTCCTGAGAACTATTTTTTTAATTATAGAGTAACTACCACATGGTACTCAGTAACTACCACATGGTACTCAGTAATTACCACATGGTATGCAGTAATTATTGTATGTTTCACCCACTTTCATTTTATATGGACCTATGCAGACCTTAAGACAGTTCCTGACATTACAATCGTTCTTTTGGCTGATATCGAAGACTTCTCCTGCCATAGTCATCTGCATCCACTTCTGTTAGTCTGGAGATTACCTAACTACCTGTTTACATCATAAGAAACTATATACAGATAAGTCTCTCTCTCTCTTAAGTTTGATACACAAGGTACGCTTTTATTTTATAATTTTTGAGACAACAGATTTAATAACCTGGTAAATTATCACTATTTATCCCACATATTGTAGTCAAAATTATTTTTATTTAACGTTATAAGTTATAATTTGATTCGTACAGTACACTCTTGCTTAGCTATGATATTTTATATGAAAATTATTAACACGTATTCATTTTAAAGGTTTTTGTACACGACATGTTTCGAAACATCATCGTATTGAGACATACATAAATTTCACCTGTTTTTATTAAGTAGCTTACTTAGTTCAAAGAATACAGTTACTAATTCAAATCTATTTAAAATAACTTGCGGTTTTATTGGGATCACTGTGACTAATTGATGATACTTGTGTTCGTTTTCAATAAATGTTTAATGTAGTATAGTTATTTCTGACTTTTATTCCTGATAAACATAATAGACCCTTAATGCTGTTGATTACTTTATTTTAGCTATGTTGTGATATCATATTTTTCTTTTTGGTTTCTTACTTTACCACTCTCATAAACAAAGTAAGTGGCGCCCTTTTCACTGTCTTTGACCATACCTATTTGAATTCTTAACATCAATATTAAAATCTCTGCAGCCTATAAATTATCATTTTTTTATTTTAATATTTAACAACATTAGAAAGTCACTGTGAGTCAGAAGCCTTACCTACGAACCCAGCTTTCCTCTAACCCTGAGCAACGGATTCTTTTTTTCATTCTATTTGGAAGAACTTTTATATTGTTCTAAAGGTGCCCGGTGGCGTAGAGGTACAGGCTCTCGTCTACCAATCTGAAGGAAGTGGGTTCGAATCGCACACCCGGCATTTCATCAGCCGACTATTTTTATTAAAATAAAAATAGTTTGGGTACCTAGGTCGACTCAGCCTTAAATGAGTACTTGGGATTCACAATCCTGAGGTAATAATAGGCGGTTGAAGCGTACTGCTAGCCACATTACCTTCCTTGTATCCCGAACGGCTCTAGTATGGCAAGCTGTACCTTGCTACTCCCAAGGCGTTAAACGCTATACACGGGAGCTATTATTATTATTATATTGTTAATATAACATAATTAAAAGAAGTTTCGAAGTTAAATTATACCCTACGGTATTTTGATTTTAACATGGGCTCTGTTTAATTAACTCCTGTAAACTGAGCTATTAATTAATATTTTCCCTTCTTTGAGTGCTTCACATTATGAAGAAATTTTATTCGTGGGCGGGAGCGATACATTGTTTCCAGAGTTTGTAATATCAAAAAGAGCCATGCGCTATAACCGACGCCGAACGTCTAATTAAATAGGCTTTGTTTTCGGTATAGCTCATTAATGAGGCATCAGAGTGATAAAAATAATATATAATTCAGAAATTGCACGGTAAAGCTTTTCATATTAGTTGGGTAACTAAAATATTCAAATATATACTAAAATTTTTTTTATTGTTGTACCAAGCAAAAGATATATTATTACATGGATATTTTTTAGACTCAGCCTTTTAAAAAATACTAAAAATACAAGAACTGTCCTGAAATCAAAACTATATAGACTTAATAAAGATAAAAAATTAAATATAAAAATATCGTAGATTGTTAGAGTATTACAAAATTTTTAACGGTTTCGCAGATATTTCGGGTTTTATATTTCATATGGCATTTTCCTCTAAATTTTTATCACATTCACCCAATGGTTTTTATCTCGTACCGGGTATTTGACTCTTTACCATTGAAAGAACCATATAAAATAACACCCCGAATATCTACAAAACCGATAAAAATTTTGAAATACTCCAAATACAAAAAATGTTCATTTTTTAATTCTCCACCCAATAAAAAAATAAGACCCACTTGGGTTTGCCTCTAACTACTTTCGATTCTTAAAAGCGCCTGAAAAGTAGTCGTGAGGAGAGCGGGGGAGATTTTTTTAGCGTTTCCTGTTGGCCTCGTTCAATTTTGTTTCGTTTTAAGCTATTTCCAAAACGTGGCGGTGTCTGTACCCGAGGCAAAAGACTTTTTTTCATAAATCTCAGTGAAATAAGTAAACCTAGACGTTTCTAAAATAGCTGTTGTTACAATATTTCGTTTTATGTTGATATATATTCCACAAAATTAATATTTGAACACGTGTTTGTAATAAGTAAAGTAGATATTTAAGAAAACAATTTTTCACACAATCTGGAGGAATAGTATAATCACACAATCTGCAGGAATATATTGAATTAATATACACAATTGTATATGTTATGTTGGCCTTAACTGATTAATATAACAGTAGTATTGCTTGATGAGTAATTCTGGCAACATCATCATCACAACCTATATATCGAACTGATTGGGAAAATTGTTGATTGGCCCGATGTCAATTAAAGATATATTTATTATTTCGAATATATTTATTTGATTTCGGAAAAGGCCAATATCGACTCTAAAATTCAGCACAGGATTAGCAGCGCCTTAAGAGCATTCTGGAAATTAAAAGACAGGGTTTTCTACAAACATGATTTGAGCACAAAAACGAAACTTGCAGTGTACCGAGCAATAATAATAATTCCCACCATGTTATATGGGAGCGAAACCTGGGTGCCGTACCGCCGACACATGAACGCATTAAACAAGTTGCAACAGAGACATCTTAGACAACTCTTAAGAATAAAATGGTTCCATCATGTCTCAAACGTATCGGTCCTTGAAAAAACTAACAGCGAGAGTATTGAAGTCATGATTACAAAGTCACGCTTAAGGTGGGCTGGTCACGTATGTAGAATGCAAAAAACGGTAAGAGGAAGCCGGGTGGATAATTCAAAAAAAAAAATACAAGGATATTTTCCACGAAAACTTAAAGGGAATTAACAAGCAGAATGAGTGGGAGGAAGCAGCTCACAATAGAACGGAATGGAGAAGAATTGTAAAGTCAAACCAAAAAGTAAAGAAGCAACAAAGCAATAAGATTTTTGAATGTCTGGAGTGCGATAGACAGATAACATCACGTATCGGGCTTTTCAGTCACAGAAAAGCTCATGAAAGAAAACGCCTTGACCATCTTCTGATGCGTGTCAAATACTCGTCAGCAAGTAATGGCAGTATGTATGTATGTATGTATGTATGTATAACATATATATAATAATAACATAGTTTGATATAAATCCATTCAAAAATAAGAAACGATTTTTAAATAGTTTAACACCGTGGATTATAACCTATAAAAGGCGGACCGCCAGAACAGTTAGTCACTGAACTGTATTGCCCTACTGTTTAACGATTTTAAGATTTGGAAATATATTTTTTTACTGTATTGTAATTAATAATGTTAGACAATGATTAAAACTAAATATTCTTGTGTAACCTTAGAGGAATAGCCAATTTAATCTACCATCGGTAACTGTTATCTAAATGCACTGTTTTTGATTTTTCATATCAGTTTAATATAGTGGTATTACATTGCACTTCATTACAATTTAATGATATTTATTCATACTCCATGTTTACTTATTTTTCTGAAGCCACCACAATGTTTGGCCTTGATTGCTTTGTGCTATTTCACAAAATAGTACGATAAATAATATAATCCCGTGTTATAAAAATTATTTCCCAGAAATGTTCTGCGAAAGTATTTCCAGAAATGTTCTGCGAAATTTGAGAATTTTATAGTTTCAGTAACTGCACTAGTAAAAACTAAAATACTTAAATATATGACTGAGCCACAATTATTTTTATATTATTTCAATGCGATCAACATGAATAGCAAATATGTTATAAAATCATGCTACAAGGAGCATATAACATCGAACAAATTAATAATCTATTTGAAAGGTAGCGAGAGAGCAAAGATTAATCGACTGATAAATACCTACCTAGCCAGAGGCGCCTGGCGATGTCAGGTGGAAAGATTAGATGTAGCAGGCTGACATTTTTCTCCCTTTCCTTGTCCACTGCCCGATTTCCTTCCTCGATCGAGCTTTTCAGCTTATCCATCCGCCTTCTGAGACCGTCCTGAAACCGAAACGGAAACGGATTATGCAAGCAACTATTGCTGAAATTGATATCTTGATATCCGGTTCGCTAGGTAGTTCAAATAAAGCCATCGATCAAAATGAAAAATGCGATATTAGAAAAATACTTTCTTTAAATATTTTTACGAAGAACTCGAAGAGATACACCTTTAATATAAACTCTCTCTTAAAATAAATTCCGGAAAAAATCATTTTTTAAATTATTTTCTAGTTATTACAACATACTAATTTATATACATTTTTTACTAATTTACAGCGTTATATTTTTAGCCCTATTTTCATGATTTTTTTAGCAGGCTGTATATAATTATCATCAAATTATATTTTAGGAACATTTACACACGCAATTATTGCACAGGGCGTTTTAAAGTTAGGGTAAAAAAACAATCCTCGATTAACCCTGTATAATATGCCAAATACTAAAATTAATAAAAAGCTGAGTTTACGAATTAAAGTTGATATAATTATACACAGCTTGCTAAAAAATTCATGAAAATAGGGCTAAAAATAACAAAAATATAACCCTTTAAATCTGACCAGAAATTTCTCCGTTGCGTTTTTTTTGCATCTGAGTGTAGTATATTTGATACCAATTAAACTTTTAGTTACGTAATCGAGGGCGGGATTTTTAAATTCATTGTTGCCAACCATATGCGGCGCCGGACTGGCTGACTGGAATTTAACTATCCCGCTGGGGATTCAGGTGGTAGCTTTGCTGTAAAAAATATCAAATTGCCAAATTTATTTATTTATTTCCTCACCTTGTCATTCGCTTTTACACTTTAGTTTTGTATTACTAGTTTTTGGTTAAGAAAAACGAGTTTTTGGTTAGGAGTTTTGAACGAGAAAGCGGTAGTAATGGCCCTTTATGTCCCTTGTACTGTTAAGAAGGTGAGTTTTATTGATGTAAATGTAAATAATAACTGTTTATATATTTATAATTAATTTATTTTTGTTTCTTAAAATATTTTGATTAAAAGAAAATATGTAAAAGTGTCAAATAATAAACAACACCGTTGCTGATCCTGGCGCAATGTGACCGACATGACGATAATAAAAATCGCTTTAAACTAATTTTTGCAGCTTTAAACCAAATAAAATATCTGTTACAATCTTTTGCTCTATAAAGTAAAATGAAGAGCTGCTCGATATCTTAAATTATACAACAAATTTAAACGTTTTTGCCAAAATTTCATTTAGTCAGGTTTATAGGCTTTAGTGTCAATTTCAATATGATTGATGACGTGCATCGGAAAATATCTTGCAATAACTGTATCTATTAACCTCAAATTATTTAGTTTTATCAAATATATTATAAGAATATATTGCTAGTAAAGAACAGAAATTGATGCCAAATTTGTGAGATGGAGCTATACAAAATCCACAAGTTTTTTTCGTTCAACAGCTGTGAACTACTCAACCGTGAAAAGTGCTTCGCGATTAGTTGATTTATTTTATATTAACCAATAGAAATAGCTTTCCTATTTTTTTCTTTCATATCTCAAAAGAACCGGGAATTTCCGGTTCTGAACCATATTATCAAGAAATTATCTTTTTTAACTAAAAACTAAAAAAAAAGTCCAGAATTTTTTTCAAAAATAAGATATTGCGCAGAAAAATCCTCATTTTTTCTGGGGCCAAAATATACTATCCCTAAAAAGATTTGCACTTATTTAAGACTCACTCTGTGTAGGGCGATTCATGGTTATGGTACGATATAGCCTTTGTGGAACCGGAGCTGTTTTTCGGAACCCGTAATTTCGGTACCATGCCTCAAAGGAACCGGGATTTCTAGTTTTTTTTTCTGTACTTTCGGTACTAGCAAATATTTGTTCAATGATGGTGCAGTTCATTAAACAGCAAGCAAGAGATGGTTGTCAAAAGTAAAATCGATAAAAAATTGAGGTTTAAATGAAAATAATATTATTTAAGTAGTAATCAGTCATGAGAAAATTAACCTGAACACAAATATGATCACAAATGACTCTCAAAAAAAACTCAAAGGACAATTTTTTGAATTATTACTACAATCAATAGCAGCACACAGTAAGGCACTCATTTTTTGTCAATCCGTCTCTGTGCTGGGACGCAACGCTCGAACCTCGCAGGTCGACGGACGGAACTCAACTGAAACCACAAAACACATGCACAAGAAGAAGTGCGAGCGCCTTGCTAAATATTGGAAAGTGAAATTGACGTTTAAATTTGACACTGTTGACAAGTCTACTGCTACTAGCGCCCCCAATATCGCTTGCAGGAACTACGGACTAGATTGCCACGCATGGCGGGAAGTTTAAAAAAATAAAAAAAATTAATTCTTTCATTTATTTTTAATTATGTCATACATAAAAACACAAAAATACACCATTTTTTAAAAATATGTTTAATAATCAATATCAAATATGCAAATTAATTTCACCACAATAAATTAATAAAATTAAAAGAATAATGTTACAAGTAGATCAAGAGACAAAATTAATTATAACAAAACTGAAAAAAATGGCGTCATAGATGGCTTAGAAATGAAGATATATATCATAATTTTGAAAGTAAAATTATATGCGAAATGTCATCGATCATCATTTTTAAGCCAACTGGACGATTATTTCAAACATACAAACTGAGTTCGTTCATAGTGCTCTGAGAAATCTAGATAAACAAAGAATAATAAATTAAAAGTATTCCAGGGGAAAAGAGAGGAAAAACCTGTATCGTCTCTGATATCTGTCAGGGTATTGTTGAAAGTGTCATCTTTTTGCTCGAAGTTTTCAGGTCGATCAAAAACCGACATTTCACAAATATCAGAGAGAGTACAGGTATTGCCTCTCTTTTCCTCTGGGATGCTTTATATCTGTTGTTCTTTGTTTATCTATATTTCTCAGAGCATAATGCCGAACACGACTACAGTATATAATTTCAATATCCTAAGTGGAAAGAAAAAAGATCACCTTTCTGTTTTGTACTATGGTCCCTTTCTTCCGATGGCTCATCTCGTTGATATTTAGGAAGGTATCCATAAAATATATATTTTACTATCGGTCCTGGGGTGAAAAAATATAAAATTCAATTTGATTTGATGATCCTTTTCTGTCACCTAAATCAGGAGAATGACAATGAGCATGTTAAGATGAAAAAAAATTATTTATCAACACTTACCTACACGTTAGTCCGAGGAGTTTTATCAAAAACTTATATTTGCCTAAATAATCTATGTATTAAATTTGCAAAGCAAACTGCAGCGTGTAAACAAAACAAATAAAATGGCTTTTAAAATGGCGACAAGTCAACGTCAACGACCCGACAAGGAGAAAAGTGGTGTTCGAATAACAAATTATGGGTCAGCAAAAATTGTTTTTGTCTCCTTTCAACGCACACTTTAGAAAGAAAAAGAGGTGAACTGTAATACTGAGAGAACATCAAGGATTTATCTGTCACTCTTGTCAATAATTTATCGGTAAGGAAGATCCCTAAAAAATCGCTTGTAGTCAAGTTTTGAACCATTGCCAGTTCTCCCATAAGAAGTGTCATCCACCTGACTGAAACGCTCTGCAATCTGCTGATATTCGACAGGTTGTAAAAACTGACAGAAAATATTTGGGAGAGTGCAACTACTCTTTTCCTTGTACTATGGTTCAGCGATGAAGTAGACGAATCAGATCGTTTTATTTGGGGCGTGCGCACGAAAATCCTGTTGAACCAAAAAAATAGACTTATGCAAGATTGATATTCCTATTTCTTTTCTTTGGCTTCAGTTTCTACTCATTGTGTAAATGCAGTAGTAGCCAATATATTTTTATAATATATTTGAGTTTTAATTATTATAAATAATAAGAGCATTTTTGTCCCAGTATAGTCTTACCTGAGCTCTGGCCTGTTCTCCTACTAGTATAACATCTCTTGTTGCGTCATGAAGGGGAATGTCAGAAATAAAGAGGCCGCTTCCTGTTAAGCCTTCGAGTCCGTCTATGAAAGGAGAGCCGATAAACAGAATAGAATCAGACTCCGGACAATGGACCATTTGCCCTTTAAGTTCCAGTTCCAAGTTATTCTGAAACAAGAAATGGGTCGTTTAGTGAAGTAATTGTTATTTAATTTATTAATAGTTTCGTTAATAGGAATTAGCCGTTTAAAGGTATAATTACCTTCATTTTACCTTAATTTTATATCGATAAATATATAAAAATTATAAAAATATTTATAAAATTAATGTTAAATTTTTATATTTTTAACATTTATAGTTAATATACAGGGTAGTTCGAACTGCATACCGGAAACTTCGGCAGCATATTCTGCAGATAAAAATAAGTGAAGAAGTTCGTATAAACGTATGTCCTACAATCCGAAATATTTTGGTGATACAGGGTGTAGAGAGTTGCATTTTTATTTCGATTTTTTCCAAATAATTTCTAGAATAACGTCAATATTTGCATGAAAACTGGTGTCTTGGTGAAGTTTTTTGACATAAGAAATTTGATTATGATGTCAATAAGACTCTTACTTGTAAGGGGCGACACCTACATATTTTTAGCTGGTTTGAAGAGTAATAACTTTTCGTCCGTACCTGTATAAAACTACTGAGTAAAAAAAATACATTTACTACGTTTTCTACGCAAAAAAGGTATCTTGGTAAAAATCGCTACGAGTAATAGTTCTCGAGATATTTAATTGATCATTTCAGCCAAATATCTATCTACTCAACAAGATTATTTTTTGTCAATAATGGCATATATTGACCATTTCCATTCTAAATATCTTGAGAACGATTTTTACCAAAAGACATTTCTTACGTAAAAATTCACGGAAATACATATTTTTCTCTCAGTAGTTTTATACGGGTACGAACGAAAAGTCATTACTCTTCGAAATAGTTAAAATGCATGTAGGTGGAGCTCCTTACAAATAGAAGTGAGATTGATATCAAAATCAAATTTCTCATGTCAAAAAACTCTCAGATATCAATTTTTATCCAAATATTGACGTTACCTCAGACATTATTTGGAAAAAATCGAAATAAAAATTAAACTTCTACACTCTGTATCTCCGAAATTAAGCATTTTAGGACATAAATGTATAAAAACTTTTTTACTTATTTTTATCTGGAGAATATGCTGCAGAAATTTCATAAAAATATTTTTTTTCTTACCGCTACTTTGTGACAAGTCGCGTATTTAGATACTCAGCGCCGTGATTGTTATTTTGTGGAATCAACCCCAGCTTACTTGATGATGGAGTAGGGCTCCAAAACAAGTCCAAAACCGGTATTAAGAGCAGATTGTTCGCCATTATGACAAAAAACACAGTGTAGAATTAATTTCTACAGTATGTCGCCGGATTGTCTTTACAAGAGGAAAAACTTTTTTATTACTGACATTTTGAGAAAAATGTATTCTTCATAAAAAATTTTGCTCATTCTAAAATGGTTAATCCCGTTTATACAATTCCAAATTACCATACAGTTTTAGAGAAAACTATAGAAATCATAAAAATATGGTTGAATTTTACTTAATTTATTGTAAGTAGTATTGTAAGTCCTAAAAATCAAAAGGCGTTTCTATGGTAATATAATTTCTATTTCATTCTTTTATAGATGGTTATTATTAATTTTAATTAAAGTCATATTTCTGGTGTTATTAAAGTATGATATTTTCCAATAACAATTATAACCCTTTCCGTAGCATTGAACTAAATAAATTTTGTGCTTTTTAATATTTAAAAACAGCAAAAAATATGACTAATTAAATATAAGATAGAAAGTATATATACAGGGTAGTCCGAACTGTATTCCGGAAACTTCGGCAGCATATTCTGCAGATAAAAATAAGTAAAAAAGTTCGTATAAATGTTTGTCCTAAAATACTTAGTTTCGGAGATACAGGGTGTAGAAGTTTCATTTTTATTTCGATTTTTTCCAAATAATTTCGGAAGTAACGTCAATATTTGGATGAAAATTGGTGTCTGGGAGTTTTTTGACATGAGAAATTTTATTTTGATGTTAATATGACACATACTAGTAGAAGGCGCCACCTACATATTTTTTAACTGGTTTGAAGAGTAATAACCTTTCGTCCGTACCTGTGTAAAACAACTGAGTAAAAAAATATACATTTACGTTTCTTACGTGAAATAAGCCTCTTAGTAAAAATCGCTGCGAGTAATGGTTTTCGAGATATTTGGAATCGAAATTATCAATACCTGTCATCATTGACATAAATTAAACATGTTGACTAAATAGTTATTAGACTGAAATCAAAAACTTGAAATGTTTTTGTGTCAAAAGTTCAACAGAAACTGTTTTATCGTCATTTTTTTGCAGAAAAAAATATGATTAATTTAAAAAATCAAAAATTTCCCAGATTTATTATTTCAGTGAAATAACTATCTACTCAACGTGTTTATTTTTCGTCAATAATGACATGTATTGTCTATTTCCATTCTAAATATCTTAAGAACGGTTGCTCGTAGCAATTTTTACAAAGAGATATTTTTTACGTAAAAAATTACAGAGATGTATATTTTTTCGCTCGATAGTTTTATACAGGTACGGATAAAAAGTTATTACGCTTTAAAACAGTTAAAACACATGTAGGTGGTGCCCTCTACTAGTAGGAGTCATATTGACACCAAAATCAAATTTCTCGCGTCAAAAAACTCCCAGACACCAATTTTCATTCAAATATTGACATAACTTCAGAAATTATTTAGAAAAAATCGAAATAAAAACGAAACTTATACACCCTGTATCTCTTAAAGTAGACATTTTAGGACATATATTTATACGAACTTTTTTACTTAGTTTTATCTGCAGAATATGTTGATATTATACTTTCTATTAATAAGAATCTATCAAAGAATGAAAATTAAATTATATTACCATAAAAACGCGGTCTAATTTTTAGGGCTTAGAAAAAATTCTATTATTTTTCTTTAAAATGGTATGGAAATTTAGAAAAGTATAAACGGAATTAACCATTTTAGAACAAGCCAAATTTTTTATAAGGTATGCATTTTTCTCAAAATGCCAATAATAAAAGTTTTTCCTCTTGTAAAGACAATCCTGGAACATACTGTATATTAGCAGGTCAAGGCAAGGCATTTTTATATAATTTTATCCTGTACCTAAAAACTACAAGAAAAATATTTCTTCGGTCCAATCCTTTTCGTGGTTTTTTGTATTTACTATGGATAGCTTTAAATGTTAATTTCTATCAAACTTATAGTAAATATTAAAGTATACATTTATATCAGTCATTACAATCTCCTTTTAACTATTTTAATTAACGGTGTTAGCTTGAAATACATTTTAGGTAGTGTGTCATCACTAGCAATTTATCATAGATACAATTTGCAGATTTTCAAACAAAAATGTGAATAAAATTATTATCCTGAATAAGCTGCAGCACAGCCCATTAGTTGTCAGATCTCCAGCGAATTATTTTTTGTTACCATTCTGGGACCTATTTCGAATTCGGCCGTTCCGAGTTCCAGTCCCGCTATTCGTAATATTTCGAAAAATCCGGATGATTTACTAGGCCCACGAGAACTCTAAAATTGATCGGCCATTTTCTTCTGCTTTACCTGCCTTAAATTTATTTTTAGACTTAAACCGGCCAAACTGTTCGAGATTTAAAAAAAAATAACAATGTATTTTACGGGTTCGGTTTAATATTGTTCCGAGTGGCCAACTAAGAATGGACGCCGGCTTAGGGTGCACCAGAAAAGATAAATTAAGAAACTAATAATTAAAGAAAGAAATAATTAAAATAAAAAATAATTACAGAAAAAAATAAAAAAATATTTTTTTCTTTTTAGTAATAGTGAAAATATCGTTCAGGATGATGAAAAAAATTCTGGTAAAGTTTGAGCTTTGAATATTAACATTAAGAGCCTCATCGTGATTTTCTATTTCCTATTTAAATATCATTGGGGAAAAAATCTTTTTATTTGGAATTTTATAGCGTTCAAACAAATCAGCGTTTTGTAAAAATCAATACACATTCTTATAGAAAATTGAACGGTATTCAAAAAAGGTCTGATATGAATTTTTACTTAATCAACTCGTTTGAAAGTTATTGAAGGTTAAAGTTAAACTTCAAATCAAAGTATATGAAAACTTCCACAGTTTTTATATTTTATCAGGAAATATTGGCTCACAAACATAAACTTTCATATATTTTTTTTATTTTATATTTAAAAATGTGTATAAATACATATATGCCTTTTTTAGAAAAATATTCCAGTGATAACTCGTATGCACGTTACTGGTGAATATTTCAACACTTTTTTAGCTTTAAAATATGCCGCATTTATAGTTACTTTTACCCTCAAAATTTCATTTGAAACGCTAAAAGTACTTGGAAGAAAAGTATAATAAATCGATAAAATATTAAGACTTTAATACCCTGTAGCTACAAAACAAAGCATAAACGGATCTGTTGATATGAAAAATGAATCTTATTTTTACGTGAGGAATCTCCCCACGAAAGATGGCAAATGTTTTTTGAAACACCCTGTATAAGTTCGAATTTTGTCCGGAATTTAATTTTTTCTCGGAATTCATAATTTTCTTAACGAGTAAAAAAGCCTCTGACCTGTTATATATTATACAGGGTGAGTCTTACATAAGTGCAAATATTTTTAAGGGTAGTATATTTCGACTTCAGAAACACGATTTTGATGTATTTTTCACATTTTTTTTAAATTTGGAATTTTTTCAAACAATTTTTGGATTAAAAAAAACATAATTTATTGTTAATATGGTAACATGAGTGGTAAATTAAATTTACAAGAACAAAAACCCAGAAAAGATCTAGTGGTTCCCAAAATTTAGGCAAGAAGTTATTTTTTTTGGAAATTTCAAAGTAAAATAACTCGGCTTTTTGGACTTAAAAAATATGTTACTTTTATCGAGATCTACCAGCCCTGAAAATATTTGTAGTTATTTAAGACTCACCCTGTATTTGGATTCTATTACATCATTTTACAAAAAAATACGTATATTATTTTTTAAATTCCTCTTTCAGTGATGACATATAAAGGCTTTTTCACGAA